GCCTGATTGGCAACAGGGCGAGTATTTCGCCGCGCGGGCTGGGAGCAGCGGGCGGGGCGGACCGGGGGCGGGAGCGGAGGGCGCGGCTCCGGCTTCTGGGGATGGGACCGGAGCGGAGGCGGAACGCGCGTCTCCGGTTTCTGGCGCTGGGACCCGAGAGAGGCAGTTGACTCCGGCAGCTGGCGCCGCCCTCCGTCAAGCGCGTGCTGGTACGCAGGGGGCAGCGATGGCCGCCGATGACGGTGCGCCGGTGACGACGGGGGACACGGTCATGGACCTGGCCGCTATCGCCGTTGCCAACGCGCGGCGCGAGAGGGAAGAGCATCCGGCGTCCAAGCCGGGATAGGACCTCCAAGAGGAGGTGGAGGTGCCGAGTCACTACTGCTACCCGTATATCCTCATGGCGGGGGCGTGGGGGCGAAGCGACAGGTGCCCCGCCGAATGGAAGTACCTCGAGCTCTCCGACGGCCCCCCGACCCGATCCAAGAACGAAAAGGGGGACGCGGTCGTACACGACGACTCCACCGTCGCGAGCAAGCCGGCTCTGGATCGAGCCTGTCCGAACGGTGACCCCGTGAGCCGTCGCAAAGCGGCGGCGTTCAGAGCGGAGCAGGAGAAGAAGGCAGCCCGAGCAGAGGCTGACAAGGCGAATGCGAAGAGAGCGTCAGAGGAGGTCGAGAACAAACGGAAAAGGCTGCAAGTCCTCACGGCCGCTACCGAGGGAATGACGGGCGTCGCCACAAGCCTCGCCAAGCTGGCGGCGATCAAGGAAGCGGAGCAGGAGAGCAATAAGCGCCAAACGGAAGCGGAGCACGAGAGCAATAAGCGCCAAAAGGAAGCGGAGCAGGAGAGCAAAAAGCGCCAAAAGAATATCGATGCCCTGAAAACCAAGCTACGTTTAGGTTTAGGAGACGAGGCTACAATCAAACAGACCCTCTTAAAACTGCTCGACGAGGATTGTTAGGTGTGCCAAGATAGCATAAAAAATAGTGGCTGGCGTCTCTATCGCGCCTCCAGAAATGTGGTATCTATTGCAACCGGTGGGGATACAGGTTCAAGCGTGTAGTTCAGGGCAGGGGGTAGGGCTGTTGTTTTCCGCATCCGATTTTATTTCGAGTCGCTTTGGTTTTACACCTGAAAACACGATCGAGGAAAACAGGGGGGATTGATTCATTTTGACACTGTTAGAGGAGCATCGTTTTTTCTTGTGATGCTTTGGTTTTCAACCTGAAAACACGACCGAGGGAAGGGGCAGACGGTGATTCATTTTGGCACCAGGAAAGGAATATTTTATTTTTTGGGATGCTTTGGTTTTCGAATTGAAAACACGACGGAGGGAAGGGGGAGGGGGGCGATTCATGTTTGCACTAGTGGAGAAATACTTCTTTTTTGTGATGCCTTCGAACGCTTTGCGTTGAAATTGGGGTTGGGTTTTAGCGTCGGAGGTTGACAAAGCCTCGGCTTATCCCGATTTCCCCCTTTCGCTCGTTTGCGAAGACACACTAGTAGGGAGGAGCAGGGCAGATTGGCGCACACAAGGCCAAGAGAGGGAGCGGGGCGTAGCCTAGATAATCAAGCGGAGACCCCGTTTTCCGCGTCTGATTTTTTTCGAGTTGTTTTGAATTATAATCTGAAAACACGATGGAGGCAGGGGGTGCTGTTGTTTTGCGGGCACCTAGACTATTAAAGTATTAAGTGGTAGGGGAGTAACACAGGTTGCAGTTCGCCGGCACGCCCAAAATATAAAGGCACATCCAGTAGAGGAAAACATCATAACGCACCATTTTGTTCTTTGGAAGCAGCTGAGCCGAGGGGGCGGAGGGTATACAGAAATACAAGAACCGTTGTCCCCTCAGCTACAACCGCTCGCGGTGACAACCATCTCGACAAACGTCGAGAGACACATACATACATGCCTTATTCAAGTGTCAGGGGTATGACGTTGTTGTTGTTATCTTCACATTTATCCCCGTCATTTATCCCCGTTGCGATCTCTCTACTCAGTTTCTCCATTCGTACTGGTCCAACACTCTGCGAGATCGCTCGGCGTACTCAACAGACTAACGGCATGCTTGCTGACACTAGGGGTAGGCAAAAACATACAGCATGGAGTCCTCTGATCCTCTCTCCACGCTATGTGAGGCAAAAGCAAAACAGGAGAAGTCAAGTAAAACAAGTCAACACCACCACCAACGGCAGGATACACCCCATGATTCTACTTGGTACCCTAATATTGCGGGGGGGGGTGTTCGTGTGTCAGGTTCTCGCTGGTCAGGCAAACCAATTTACTCCTCCCTACCGATAATATGTCGATCTTAAAAATACACGAGCAATAGTTAGGCAATCGAGGCGACGACAAACTTGCACAGGAAGCAGTCGTCCTACTTACCTATGCTGACGACAGGGATAAGAGACCAGAAAACAGACAAAACGTAATCTGGAGGCTGTCTACGCCTCTCATACCGCTGCCCTCTGAAACCACACAACCTCCTTCCTGGTCCATGCTACAGAGAAGTGGGTGACGAGCTTCGCGCGAAACTCTTCCAACCCTGGGGATGGTGTCTCGCTGTCGTTGTCGTCCCCCGTGCCTACATCTGGCTCGCCCCCCCCAACGGCCTGGCCGATCCCTGCCAGCCGGTCGCCTCCGTCATGACGTCCAGTTTGTCGTAGTGGTGAAGCATGTTGTGGAGGATGCACGCCGTGAACCATGGGTTGTCGATGCTGTCGCGGGTCTTATAGAGAATGCCTGCCTTGAACAGGCGGAAGCGTCCCTTCACTCTTCCATAGCAGCACTCGATGTCCTTGCGCATGCTCTCCAACCGTCTGCTCCAATCATGCTCCTCGACCGTGGCATGATGCTTGATGGGTGGTATAAGCAGCGGGATCTGGTATGGACAAAAAAATAAAAAAGGGATAGAGACGTGGTCCACGGGGTATAGTTCCTGCCGCAGCGCAAACCAGATACTGTCTTTCCAAGTCCCAGAAAAACAAACTACCGTCCGAATGTTTCCTCCAGCACCAACGATTTACTCGCACTGACAACACAAGGAATGCGGGGGTCGGGTACTTGAATACACAACAACAAAGGTCGTCGTAACAGTTACACGACAAAAAAAAAAACTTTGGTTCTTGCGTGCAGGTGTTCGGAGGCATTCTTATCCATGTGGAAACGGATCGGCGGAAGGAGCAAGGGCCGGACACAAACTGCGTGCTCCTTTCACCGATCGTTGTATTTCATGCCCGGATGTGACAGGCCCACCGCGAGCGCTGAAACACCACTCAAAACGCCAGCAAGACCTGCCATTTTCACTCCCGGAACTGTGCTGCTTCGTGAGTACTGCTGCTACAAAAAAGGTGTGTGGCAGACGTGTGCCACATCCCCAAACAGCCGTTCGAAAAAAATGAATCGAGAGGCCTGCTCTTGATCTAAAGAACAACTAAACACAACTTGTGCCGGGTGCTATTTTTCGTGTCGCGCAGACCAAGTCGACCTGCTGTATGTCAGCAAACCGCGCGGTTCGTCAAAAGCTCACTCGACGAAATCACGACGAGAACAAGGAGAAATTCTAGAACCCTTTTCGTTTTATTTGATCCGTGTTTTCCCGAACGACAACAACGGCCGTAAGGGGAACAAAAAAACGGCGACACATCTACGGCTTTCCGATAAATAGATGCCGTCATCGATCTTCACGATTACGGCGAGTACGGTTTTCACCTTCTGATAGCCCCCGTCCACGACTAGCCAGGCACCCTTGTACTCCGTCTCCGAGCCGTCCGCGTTGTACAACTTGTACTTGAGACTGCTCCACGGCTCCTCGTCTCGGATTCGCCAGATGGACTTGTCGCGTTGGATGATGGTCTTGTCGTTCTCCGATCCTGGATATGACTTGGTCGCTGCGATGATGCGACCTGCGGTTGGTTGTTGTTGATTCTCCAATTAGCCGTGAAATCGAAATCGCTAAATACCAAAAAATAGCAAAAGATCATGACCAGTCGTCACAAAAGTACTGGAGCCATCAGGGAATCCTGAAAGAATACAAGGGCACTTCGCGGTCGCCGCTACGCGCGTAGGTTGTATGGCGATGGCAAGTGTGTGAGGGTAGAGGTTTGGAATGAGAGGAACGACGCACAATGAATGAATTAATGAATTCATGAAAGAGAGTTGCGACGGCGCCGGAGGACAAGAGTATCGAATTACTCTTGAGTGAGAAATTTGGTTTTAAGAAACAAGCAACAACAACAACCAAACGGCTTCATCTCTCCCTCTTTCCTCCTCCCACGTGGTACCCACCCTTCAGCGATATGCTCTGCCAGACGGCGTTGGGAGTCAGATGACGGTAGAAGTTCGTGTCTTGGTGTGTTCGTGGGATGCGGAGTGTCCCTGTGTCCGCTCTAATATAATACAATAAACTGCTTCGACCGTGGTTATATCTCGAACAGGTATTCTGTTTATGTTTTGTTTATTTTTCCTAATGAACTGCTCTAGAGGTGCGGTAGGTAGCCACGAGTTTCTCCGCAAACAAAAAACGATACGAGGTACCTTCCATGAAGAATGCGAACAACAGCAGCAGCGCACTTCATGTTTTTTTCTTTGCTCTCGGGCGGTGTAGTTTTGCACACAGCTGTGCACGACACCAGTCGCTACCCTCCCCGCTTTTCGTCGGGATCGAAAGGGAGGCACTACAGCAGTAAAGCACTTTGTCTCGTGTCATGCGGAGACTTGGTTGCTTGGGAGAATCCGCAAAAAAAGGGCTCTAGTCTCAAGAGAGCGCCAGTATCGGAAATGCTGCGATCTCGTGGGCCCTCAGCGGTAGGAAATTCGTCTACACGTCTACACACACACAAGCCAAGAGGAGGTGCTGCCCGAACAAAACTCACCGGTGTGGTCGCATGTCGCCTCCACGACCACAGTCGGGTAGCCCTCCTTGCCGGTGTTCATGCGAGCCTCCGAAGAGGGTCCGCCTGGCCACCTGAAGTGAGTACAGTCCGTCGAACTTATCGCCCCCGGATAGCCGCTCTTCCGAAAGACCCGCTCCACCTCCTTCAGCTCGTCTCCAACCGGGAGTTTAACCCACGTGTCCCAGAGCGCCGCCGAAAACTTCTCGCAGAAGTGGTGGAATGATTTCTCGGCGGTCGCGACGCTCATCCCAGAGAAGATGGCGACGTCCTGGAAGGTATTTCCCGATGCTAAAACCTTCAGGGCCGCGCACACCTGTCACCGCAGCAGCAGCGACGAACGGGAGACGGGCGTCTACGGCGGAGCAGCAAAAATAGATACACATGTGTCGGAATAAAAATATGGTGACTATTCGTTGCTGTGTGCCGTTCTAATCTCGAAAATCGGGAACAACAGCACGTGTGCCATGGCATGTCAGCGCGACAAAAAAGACGACAGCACTGTTGCTACGACGGAGCGGAGGAATTACAAGTCCGACACTCGCATTCCCGGCAGCACGGTAAAGAACAACAGCACGACGAGCCGATTGCAAGCCAGACGGCCTTCCGTACGGCAGTATGTAGTACAGCTCGCAGCGCTTGCAATAATGTTTTGGAACGACTGCTGCGTGCTGCGCGAGGAGCAGTACAAGGGCATGTCAACGCAAAAACATACAACACAGCACCACTGCTGCTACGATGGAGCGGGAAAGTCGACAAGTCTGGTACTCGCACCCCGGCGACACTACCGTAAATGACAGAGGATACCACACCTCCTGGACCGATTTTCAAAGTTTGGATTACTCCACGGCCAAGAGGATGCATGAAGGAAACGATGCATTTTCGGAAAGCTCTCGGCGAGAGGGCTNGCAAGTGGTTGTCGATGTCGACTCTGAGTGAACTAGAGGCGTGTTGTATTTGGATGGATACACGAGACGCCTGGCAAGTTTCAACAAGAGGCAAGTGAGATTTCATGTGCTGTTGTACGTGTTGCAGGAACGTATGAACGAGTCGAGGAGGTATCGATGTGAATGGTTCCTCTCTAAATAATAAATTAAGTGAATGATTGACAGCTTTTTTTGTCTTTTTGGGCTGTCCTAGTCGCGAGGACGCATACAGTGTCACCCGCGGCCTCCAACCACAGCACACAGTACGGAACAATCGGTCTTCGGTGCACGAAACCCAACGGTTTTCACGAAATTGCAGGTGCTCCGTCGATTGTGTACGGATATCCGTGCGGTTTCGACGTTTTTTTCCGACGGAAAACCGTGCTCAAAGCCACGGTTTCGCGCGGTTTTTGCTACGGAGTAAAGGAACCGCTCCGTACAAAAAACCGCACTACGGATAAACCGCTCCGCTCCGCTCCGTGGCATGAAAAAAAAAAACCGCTCCGCTCCGTGAGGCTTTTGCCTTCGGATAAACCGCTCCGCACCGCTCCGTGATAGTTTCAAATGAGAAAAACCGCTCCGCTCCGCTCCGTGGAACTTCAAAGAAAAAAAAAAACGCTCCGCGGAGCGGTTCTACTGCGTGAAAATAGAAGAGTTCAAGCCGCTACACAGGCTGCTGGTACTGCTGTCGTGTGCTGCTGCTGTAGACTACAACAGCAAGCACCAGTAGTTCGCATGCTGTCCTACCGTCGAGTAATAATCCAGATGGGTCACAACGCACCTTCAGTTCCACGGGAACGCACTCCCGGCCAGCTACGTCGTGTGTTGCTGCTGGAAATGCGGGCGCCACAGCCTTGACGATGCCGAGGAACATCTCGTGGGAGACTCGGAAAGCGGAAAGCACTGACGAACTGCCGTGCCTCTCGGCTGTCCTCGTGAAGTCCACCCTCCGAAGCATGCAGCTCTGCGAGTTTCCCTAGCCACTGTCCCCAGGGCGACTTCATGTACTCTGGCCGGGGATACGACCGCCGTTGCTGCTTTGCCTTGGGTTCCTCCTCCTCTTCGAATGCAGCAGCAGCAGCAGCAGCGCACTCTTCCTCAAATGCCTCTTCTTCTAGGATCAGCCCCATCATGATCGAACAGGCTGCAGCTGCTGCTGCCACTACCGTCTCTTCTGACTGTGGTTGTCGGTGCTCTCCATGTTTAGTGTGATGTGCGTCGGTGTGGAGCTCGAGGACGTGGGTTTGTGTTGTGGGTTGTGACACCGTGAAGTGCGCGTCGGGGTCGGGCTCGCGTGCGCGTGCGTTTGTTGTGTAGTGGGTTGGACCCTGCGACCCCGTCACCCCAGTTGTTGTTGTCTTCACATTAAACCGTATGTCAGTTGCTAAATGCCAAAATCTAGCAAAGACTCTCGGCCCGTGGTCACGAAAGTGCTAGAGCCATCTGAGGATCTAAAGCT